CTGCAGTCGGTTTCTAGTTTATTTATCTATACCTATTATTACAGGACAACGTCTGTCGGGTCCACTAGTAATTTCATATTTAAAGTAGGTACCTACCTTACTACTTCTATTTGGAATTGAGAAACGCCCCCAGAAGTGGTGCAAGACGCACCTATTTCCTATTGTTATTAGATATTCTTCTCAACGACACGTCTCATTTGTCGTCTGTCTTTCAGTCAATCATTCACACAAGAACCAGTATAACAGAACCCCCTTATTTCATACAACTTCATCGAAGATATAGATCGTTTGAGAGGTCACGGTAAAATGGTTGTTATTTTTTTTTTTTGGTACACAAGATTAATGTACTGCAATATGTAAGTAGCCAAGGAATAATGACAATAATTTGTTATCGGATGTCCGTTTGAGTTTTAATTACAAAATTCACTTGTTTTTCTGTTGATTAATTGCTTTGCACAACGATCGGCTTCTTTGTAGTATGCCAGTAGGAATTTAAGCGAAAACTGTTTTATTTTTTCTTATGCAATGCTTTGTTGACTCACTAACTTCTAAATATGGATATACCACACACTAAAGTTAGTTTTTATTCTGGAAATATTGATTAACAGTTTATTGTCTAATACTACCTAACCCATAAATACTTATAGGTTATAGGTAGTGTAGTATAGTATGTACACTTATCACCTAATGTCAAATTTGTACCACCATGGAAAAAAAATTTGCGCATAATCTGAATATTTATCCAAAACTTAATAATTGAATTTTTAATTCACAATAAAAGTAACACTTACCTCCTTAAAGTTACAAGTAAACTAAATGACTACATTCAATTGTAGAAGGTACCTACTTTTACTCAGTACTTTAAAGCTTCCTCGCTCTTTGTCATGCCAGTAGTTGAGAGCAAAAATACAGATTGGCGAACAAAGAGATCTGTTATTGGTGCCCAAGGAGACGGAGCGGGCCTTTGTAGGGCCATCAAGATGCGCACAATAACTGCAATAGATTACATACATATGTCGCTGGTATTACCTCATAGTTATCTGTACCTTTTTTAAGGGGGGCAAATAAATAATTCAATGGCTCCTCCCGCCTTGGGTTAGGTAAGAGGGACTGTCAGAGTTTTATTGTCTAAAAACCACCTCATTCCTATTCCTGCTTCGAGACGAAGCCTCGGTAACCTGATGTTAAGTCGTCCGCGACTTCACAGTAATAAGTTCCTAAGATGATGATTTATAAATAACCAAAGATATAGGTAACTTCAAAAGATTTAAATAATAAATTCCTGCATTTGTCCTAGGAAATTATGCAGCGCCACCTACCCACTGCGACTATTATGTAGGTACTTCTTTAGTTTCCGTGTGTAGGTATTATATTATCTTATTCTGTGTTTCCGTCACATTTACATTCACACATCTTTTTAGACTACCTTTTAGAAAACCTTAACTTTTTAACTACCAATAAATATGCTTGTAATTACCTACACCTGGAACACCTAAGGCGTTACAAGTGCGTTACTGGCCTTTTGGGGATTAGGAATTTAAAGATTCAGGGATTGGGCAGATTAGGGGGGTGGCTCCGATAACCTCACTCACACAACGCAACGTTGTTTTACGTCGGTCTTCTGTGAGGCCGGGGTATCACTCCGGTCGAGCCGACCCATTCGTGCCGAAGCATGGTTCTCCCACACTTAAATTCAAAATTAATTCCTATTATTATGTTTATTATAAATGTATAAGAAAGTGTTCACACTTTCAATAATCGTTTATTGAAAAAGTGAAGTAAGTAGGTACTTAAAGGTATAAATAGTTGTTAATCAACACGTTACCAGTTAATAGTGCCTATTAACAGATAAGGGTCCTCTTTGAACAATGGCCATTTTATTCATATAATCTAATCGATTAACGTGATTCATAATTTTTATCAATTCATTGTCTACTTACGTAGATATTTGTAGTTCACTACCTGACAAGATGGTCCTTCTATTGTAAGTATTTGTAAAAGTATGATTATTTACCTACTAAAATATCTACAGTAAATTAAATTTAAAATATCTACTGTTATGCTTTTTACTATTGAAACTATTTGATAAAAAAATATATTAGGTAAGTCAGCTTGGGGAAAAATACATACATTCAAACTTTGAAGAAATGAGCGTACCTATTTATACTTACCTACTTACTGTTTTTTAAAAGATCGGCAACTGATTTTAGTAACTCCTCTAGTGATTTGGGTGTCCATGGGCGACGAAAATGTCTTACCATAATATCCTCGTTTGCCCCCTTACCCATAAAAGGCTCCGAAGTGCAGGAGTAGGAACGGGGTGGTTTTTAGTCAGTAATAGTCTGACACTGCATCCCGCCTCGCGCAGGCGGGAGAAGTCATTTGATGATTTTCACGCCTTAAAAAAACATAAAAAAGCTCTTTTCTTCGTTTTTATATCTAATGAGGACATTCACTTTGAACATTCTTTTGTGACGTTGTTAGTTGTTAACGCAAAGGTGAATATTTTATTGGTCACAAACATAATTATGACAATCGTGTTCAAAAGGTTAATGAACGTAGGTACAAAAATAACACCTTCATTCATATCGTGACAATGCATTAATTAATAAATTAATTTAACTTTATTTCACAGAATAATGGGATACATATCTATTAATACCAAAATACCCTTTACCCATTTTAATAATTTTTCTTCCATTTTGTGCAGCCTATGCAACTGAATTACATTTAAAAAACTAACTTAGATTCTGAAAATATAATTTTCTTTTCGTAGCAAATGTTGCAACACTATAAAATTGTACCTATCTTATCGTTTAAACTGTCAAATACCAAGCGGTCACCGGTGACCGCGACCTATTGTTCTTTAATTGTGTCTATAAAACCGGTACTCGACGAGTTAAATTCACAAGTCACCATTAACTTCGTGGATGTTTTCAGAGTACCTACTTAGTTTTTTAAGAAATTATCAAAAACATAAAAATAATCACTTGACTGGCAGTGTGTGATACAGAACTGAATGGTATCTAAATACATTATCTCCTCTAGCATGGATCTGCCTTCCGGCACACCACGGGTTAATAAACTCGTTTAATAATTAGGATTCATATTCTTCTTATAGTGCTCGCTTATCATCATCATGATCATTTTCTTATAAAAAATATTTATTTATAAATTCGCATAAAATCTTCGCACATCCACAACCTCAACCTTGTTTCTAGGACGAGAGGTGCGAACGAAACAATCAGCAATAATGGTTGATTAGTGTTGGTAATCGAGTAACATCCTCGGCAGTCGGCAGTCGGCAGGTCGGAGCCAGTCAACATGACGAATGGCTGACAGCGCGCCCGTTCAAGAGCAGGACGATTATCGAATTACGTTCCCCACGTGTCGCGTTGCTCTTTCATTTGTCATGGCCACTGCTCTTTCCGCCTCCAGGGAGTTGCCAGCTCTGGGTTTCAATGTTTTAAAGGCGTATATTTTAGCTAGTGTGCTAGAACTTCTACTTTATCTAATGGAAACTCAACGGGATGACCTGCCCTTTGTTAGTAGAAAAAGGATTGCTATTTTTAAGAATAAACGTAATTAAGTAACGATTAACTTAATAAAAAAAATAAATGAGTAATGGTACATGAAAAAGTATTATAATGTCTTTACCTGAAGATGGAATTTAGAATGTGTCATTCGAAATCATACATGCAGAACATGATAATGTTTTATTATTTCAATGCGTAATACTCTTAATCAACATTTAAGGAAATAGAAGTGACATAATGCGCCTGTGACATACACTCACAAGATAACTACGTATATTACAATACTGGAATTTTAGAATAGAACTTTAGATGATCGTATTTTAATTCCGTTTGTACAAAAAAACTATTTTTATTTATTCCATTTGATCCACAAACAATTCCTTTAACTTACAAATAAAACTTAACCAAACAAGATCAACAACATAAAAGATCGGCAACGTGTGCGCGATACGTTACAAACAACAATGGCTTTTCATCAGCCAGGCCAAGTTAAGGTAGGCCAGGTAAGTTTGTTTGTCACCTCGCTGAATTAACTCCAAAGTTAAAGTCCGAGCTGTATAGACTTTTTTTTATAGATTTCGATTTCACAAGTTTTGTTATTAGTCCTCCATTTTCATTCAGTTCTAAACTCCGAATGACTTCCGTAGCTAATAATTATAAATAACAATAAAAAAGTACCCAATTAAAACCGAGAATCTGCTAGTTTAGTCAAAAACAGTTGTGTTTGCGACCACCAACGTTGCAGGTCCGGACACAAACACATCAAGTTTCAACCTTATCGTTTTCTAATAAGGCTGTTAATAAAGTAAAACCTAATTATTGTGTATCTAACACAAAAAAGTATAATTACAGAATACTTTCAGCTGTGTATATGGCAGCACATTATCCGGACTGAGCATTGCATCCTGCCGACCGTGACAAAACGACCGGGATGCTGTACCATACAATTGAGGCTTTTACCTTTATTGGAGTGAACTATTTCCCTTCAATGAGCAAAGGTAGTTTAAATGTTTATATAAGGCTCAATGCATAAAGGTTGTAGGTCACTACTACTAGATAAAAAAACAGTAGTTAAAAACTACGTAGCAGCACCCTCTATTTCACGAAGGTCAGAAATTTCGAAACAGGTGAATGAGGTTCAGAATTTGGTAATTAAAATTGCAATAAAAATAACATTGTTTCGCTACAACCAGACATCTATTACATACATGCATCATTATTTAATAGTATCTTATAACATACCTATTTACATTATAATCATATCTCATTTAACCGACTGTAAACTTGTAAAGTTTCATACGCCATCAAGAGAAAATCTCATGTTTTATCTTTTTATACAAATATACGCAAAGATATTTATGCGGAAGAATGGCTATATCAGTTACTGTTCAACCAGAGAGTTATCACATCATAATAATGATACAATTTCGCAGTTGTTATTGAAAAATAAAAATACTTAGCAAAATGGAATTATCTGAAAATGAACAACTATGTAAACTAGACGAAGTGGAAAGGGGGTCATTGAACGACAGACACAAACATCGACTGTGCAGGTCAGTGAAACAATAAAAATATTTTAGATGAGTACATATACATAGCTACCATTGTACAGCTGTTTAGATACATAAAACTGTCGTGGTTTCTTTACAGAAATAGTCAAAGAAGAAAATCAGGAAGGAGAAAAACTGAACGCGTCGTCTTCAAAACAGGACAATTCAACTTGGAAAAATGGAAGAACTCGAAATATCGTGTGTTTCCAGACATCGTGCAAGCACTCATCGACGTTCAGTGGCGATGGACGATTGTGTACAGCATCCTCACATACATCATCATTTGGCTGGCCTTCACAGGAATCTGGTGGATTATCCTAGAGATGCATGGTGACTTCGAACCAGACCACTTGCCACATGTTGCGAATTCCACCTGGGAGCCTTGTGTCCGAGAAATCTATAGTTTCACGTCCCTCTTTCTCTTCAGTATTGAAATCCACACCACAATAGGCTATGGTGGCAGGTCAATCACATTGGAATGTCCTTCCGCAATGTTTACAATGTGCATCGAGAGCATACTCGGTACTATCACTCAATCTTTCATCGTTGGCATAGTATTCGCCAAATTGACAAGGCCGAAAAATCGAGCACAGACGCTGTTATTCTCGAAGAACGCCATCATCAACCAAAGAGATCGCAATCTACGTTTGATATTCAGGGTCGGGAATACCAGGAAGTCTAGGATCATAGCTGGCACCGTCCAAGCTTATTTAATCAGGCATAGTTCTGTGGATGTGTTGGAGAACCAAATAAAATTGTGTCTGTCCATGGATTCCAGTGAGAATATTTCATTCATGTTTCCTGTCTGTGCTGTACACACGATAGATGAGGAGAGTCCGTTTTATTCAATGTCTGCTTCTGATATAATAAAAGCAAACATGGAAATCCTCGTAGTATTTGAAGGCACCATAGAATCGACTGGCCAGCCCGTCCAAGTGAAGTCGAGCTACACCACACAAGAAATTCTATGGGGACATCGCTTCATTGAAATGGTCGAGTACAGGAAAGAAAAGCACGGTTTTCTGATCGATTATGCAAAGTTCAATGAAACCTATCCTGTCAGTACCCCACTGTGTTCAGCGAAACAACTTAATAATTTTTATGAACATAATTTAAGAAAATTAAAAGATAGTATTCGTTGACCTTACTGTATTATTATCTCGGCTTCTTTAAATGTGGATTTAAAAGGACGATTATTTCTCTCAGTTCCATTAGATCTTGATGCATTGTCTTCATTGAAGCAATTTCCCTCTCGAGTGCTGTTACCATTAACTTCACTGCTACTAACTGTGCTCCGCAGGTTCGCAAGTCCGCGTCAAATTTCGAAAGCATTTTTTGATTTGTTTCACATTGTTCTTTCAAATATTGTTTTATAAAGTCAGTCATTGCTCAATAATTTTGTTCACTTATCTCAAACACTATTTTACGTCCGAATTAATACATTTAACTCTAGAACAAATTAATGTGGTCTTCAAATCTGTTTACAAACAACAAAACTGACGTAAAGTTGGAAAATAAGTAGGTAAGTGTTTTATCTTCTCCGTTCTTGGTAGTCGGTTGGTACTTAAGGTGTGTCAGTGCTGTGATAAGATTTTAGAATCGCATGACACAAACCCACTTCAAGGTTGTTATAATAAATAGTGTCAACGATACCTGTACCTATTATTTATTTTAGTTACATGTATAAAATTAAGAATTTACTGAGACATTTTATGCCTTTTAGCCGCGAGGTGTACCTATGTAAGTAGTGATGCGCTTAATGTCACGTAGGTACCTATCTACTATAATTATTGTATCCCAAATTATAAGATTATGAGTGTCACTAATGTATTAGGGGGAGAACCTATTACCATAAGTATACCGGGCACAATTCCAGACTCCGTTCTATTACTGAGAAATATTCGAGAAGCCCAATAATATCTGCCTAACTCGTTAATTGAACCAAACACTTATTTGGCAGTCGCATTTGCGACCACTCGACCACTGAGGCATCATTTGTCTATTAAAGATTATATTATATAACTATAAAAGCTATAAAAAGCCTTTCAATTTTCTCCTATGTATTTGATGGGTCGACGCGACGTTCGACCATCATCTCGCCTGGTGGTAAGCGAGTGTATGTAAGTTTTTAGATGAGCTAGATATAATAAATATGTCTTTACCATAAGTAGAAATTCAAAAACACGCGCTCTGTAGTCGCATCCATTTTACGAAAGTTCTACCAATGATGTATAATATAGACATCAACACCCTTCTACTCGGGATTACCAGTCTTTTTCCCAACATTTATTTTGAAATTACCGGTAAAAACCTGAAAAAACAAGCAGGTGGTCTATGGTCATTAAATTTGCCAACTAATAAATTAAAAACCGTAAAATTAAGGACAACCCGCCTTTTTAGGCAATTTTAAGTTGTAAATATTTTATTACAAATTCTATTTATTTATTAATCTCGTCTCATCTCGTTTATTACAAATTCTATTTATTTATTAATGAGATAAAAACCGTAAAATCTATCCATCATTAACATCAAAACCACACCTTAAATTTGTATTGCCAACCTTCGTTTTAGTATTTGTTTTTTTTAAAGTTACAACCCTTTTATTAATGACGTTCACTCATGCCAACATTCAGAATAAAAAATAAAAAATGACAAAAGTGTGCTGTCATTTTTCTGTCCATCGAATCATTATCAATCACTGTTGATTTTCTAAAACAAAAGTTTATTATTGCGTTTCATACGAAAAGATGTTTCGAGCTAATAATTTTGATAAGTTGCTTGGTGAGTAACTAAAAGTGGAATTTGTTTTGTATTATACCATCGCGTTCTTACGTCTACAACAAAAATTATGTTCGTTGTCACAATTGTAGCCAATTTTCTCTGATTAGCATTTAGCTTTCTTTATTTTTTCCCAAAAATTGTCTAGTTTTAACGGTACAATTAGCGGTTGTGACTCACGAGTTTTCCCGTAGCAAACAATGAACGTCTCATTATCAATACCTAGGATGATTATACTAGTATAAAATGGTGAAATAATTTGTTCTAGATAAAGCTACAAGTAATCTACGCCTGGATCCCGATTGGCCGACTATCCTACAAATATGTGATTTGATTAGACAGAATGATTGTTCGTAAGTACAATAGTGATTAGTTCATAAACATTATTTATAAGGTCAAAACATGAAGTACTTATACACAGGTGTAGTGACCCCTAAAAGCTCCAGTAGAAAGTTGTTCAACTTTGGAATGATTATACAATTACCAAGTAGAATATATCAGGAAAACATAAAGTAAAGAAATTGTTTATAAAAAAAATTACATCATCAATCAATATTCAATAACAATCAGTTATTGACACTGTTTTGTACACAATTTGGAGATAATTATGTGTAAACTGTATGAAAAAATATGGCTATTTATTGGCCTAATGACTACACATTATGAGTGATAAATGGATGCATATTATTTTTGAAACAATGTTTTGATGCTGTGTATAATACTATTAATATTGTTAGTTAAACTAATTAATTGATAGCTAAGCAAACTTATTTTTAAGAGAATTTATAAGTGTAAATATTTAAAATCTTATGTAAACCAACTATAGATAATAAAGAATGTCATAATGACAAAGAGAGAGTAAGAAATATCTTGCAATCAAATATTTGTTAGCACTTTATAGTATGTTTACAATATACAATACAGTTTAATTATTCCTTTCATCTATTAATCAATTGGGTCCATTAATTGATTTCTTACATAATTCTAGTTAAATTCCACTTCAAGCTAAGTGATACTAATCGATGATAAGAAGTGAAATGATTTTAGAATATGATGTACTCGGAACTAGTGTTCATCTGTATAATAATTGTTACAGACCAAAATATGCAGTGGCAGCAGTCAAAAAGAAACTATACTCCTCAAACCCCCACCAAGCTATGTTTGCACTGCTCGTCCTCGAGAGTATTGTCAAAAATTGTGGTAAGTAAACACTAAATGCTTTGAACATAAATATCTAATTAGAAAACAATATTTAATTAGAATGTTGATTATGTTGTTATTAGAATGGTCAGATATTTTTTTTCTCATGACACATTTCAATTAATAAGTACAATACAAAATAATACACAATCTTATTAACAAACTTAAAATAAAACTGTGTTATAACAGTTCTTATAAAATAGACTTCATGATTTGCATACTTAAAAAATATTGATTAAAGATTTACTTGTATATTTATCTAAAAAATAAACTTCTGCAAAAATTACAGGCAGACTATTAGCTGAACCTGTAAGATTACTTAAAAAATATATTATAAGATTATGAATAACTAGTGTTATTATACTCTTGATCCAGTTTTTTACCTCAGACACTCAAGTAAATGATCTGCTTTGCTACTAGGCTCTGGAGTTCATGATGAAGTGACATCTAAAGCATTCTGTGAGATGCTCCGTGACCTTGTGAAGACCACACAACACGAAAATCTTCGAAACAAGATCCTTGAATTGATTCAAGCTTGGGCTTTCGCATTCCGTAACTCACCGAAATACAGATCTGTTCAGGTAAGAACAAAATTTATAATAATCAAGTGAATGTTGAATAGACATATGAATGGCATACAATACATGTCTTTAGCTAGGAAGAATAGGCATTTAAATTATGATAATATTATAATGAAATCAAAGTAGATAAGTTTGACTAAGCTAACTGACATGCGTAACTGTGAATGAGCTAAAATGTGAATTTGGCAAAATAATTCAAGTATATCAAAGTGCCCTGGGGATGACCTATTGAACAAATGATCAGTATGTTCATTGCAAGCCCTATTAAGTTTTCATAGAAAAGGAATAAGTACTAAATTCGTAGCATAAACCATGATTAATGTGTGGTTGAGCATTTGAGCATATTATTTTCTGCTAAATATGCTAAAAGTTAGATTAGCAGTATCTAACAGGTGTAAACTTTTAAGCATAGTCACTAAACATTACTGTCACAGTTCACTGAACGTTTTCATGTCTGGTCCCAAGGTTAAACAACACAGTTCTTTGCAATATTGATCTGACCACACCTAAGTATAATTGAATTATGTCATGCTTTCATGTAATTACCACACTAGCAGTTTAGTACACCTAGAGTAAAGTATAAATGTGAACTATTGCTTGCTACAAAGTTAGCATATAAGTATACATGAACAGGAGTAACTACCAGCCATGTAAGCGCTAATTTAATTAAATCTAATCAGACACTGCATGACAGTATATTCAAATAAATTGTTCTGTTTACATTGTTGTGTGGTAATGTCAATGTCCTATGGAGAAGATATGTGTTTTATCTCTAGTGATATGCTCAGAAATTGTATTTCTATACATGGTATTTTTTTTAATACAAACAGTAAATGTGTATGTTCTAATATTATAGTTTAAACAAGTTCTAGGTAATTAAGTATTGATTTATTAATTACCCATTCAAACAGTCCTTTACAATCGGTTTCCATGCGGGCGCACATGCCATCTACCTACGTATATACGACTATATCCGTATATTGTATAGCAACGTAATATAATATGTACCTGTAAGCGCCGCGTCACATGTTATCAGTCAGAGGCAGTATGATTCATAATCTCATGAAACAACATAAACAGTTTAATGTAGTGACGCTCTTTTGTGCTAAGGTTTCTTTTCAAGTCTGCTTAGAAATTGTGTAAATAAAAGGAAAGTGTAAAATTGAATACTGAAATAAGTTGTAATTTTCAGTCAGTATAGAGCAAAAGCCAGTGATATTGTATTGTGAAGTATAGTGATTGTGCTTAGTCATAGCGAAGTTAATGTTGTGGTTTTTGTACATAGGATACTGTGAACATTCTGAAGGCTGAGTGTTACAAGTTCCCTCCACTCAAGGAGTCTGATGCAATGTTCTCCGCCGATACCGCACCAGAATGGGCAGATGGAGAAGTTTGCCACAGGTATGATTCATGCTACATTTTACTGCACAAAATATATTTAGTAGATAAAATTTATAAACCATTGGCCTTTGAAGCAACTATACAACAAAGTGTTTGATGTTTTCCTCTTTCCTTGTTGTTTTTATTTTGTTTTTCCTGCTTCTACCATTTTTAACAGATACATTTTAGAACTATTAGTTTCAAAACAGTTTTTTCTATCAGATGTCGTGTGGCATTTTCGTTGATGGTAAGGCGACATCATTGTCGTGCATGCGGTCAAGTGTTCTGCCAACAATGCAGCGCCAAGCAATCAACCCTGCCCAAGTATGGAATTGAGAAGGAGGTAAGATATTAAAAATAGATTCTGGGAACTATTTACAAATAATACTTTTAATTTATAAAACATAGTGATTCAAGTTTTACACAGGCAGGTTTCAAAGATCTTTTAATATCTTTGATGCAGCTTTTTGTGACTCTAAGGTTATGAGCCTTATGGTCATTATTTTGTTGGTATACAATAACAATGAATGCATTTGCATTTTGGATATCAAAATGTCTACAATAAATTGTTAGTACAGTTAGTTTATTATTACACATCATAAATCTAATTTATAAAGAAATTATAAAAACAATAGTATGTAATGTTAACAATAAAACCATGTACCTAATTTTAAATTCATTTCTACTTGAATATATCTGAACAAAGAATGTTATTGTTAGGTGCGAGTCTGTGATGCTTGCTATGATAAAGTAAGCCGACCACCTCAGTCCACTACCAAGCTGGAGATTGTTGACACATCAAACGACTATGGACCTTCTGTGCAAACACAGGTAAGTCACATTTTACATTAATTACAAGCACTGTCTTAACATTTTTTTTTTAGATAAGCAATAAATTAAACTGTGGGAATGTTAGGTTATAGTCTCATGTTAATATTGACTGATTATAAACAGTGGTTTGTACATGAATTTTCACAGAGTTTTTGTTATATGATAACAAGCAATGTTGAGGGTTTAACTTTGTCATAAAAACAACACAATGAAATAAGACACTTATTACACTTATAAATATTTTATTTATAAATTAAATTGCTAATCACTATCCGTCGTAAGAATCACCCGGCATTTCGCCACCAGGCACCAGCATTGCTATGTTGTTTCCATTCAGTAAGATTTGATCTAGTTTGGTTATTTTTCTACCTTCTGGCGTTGATTCATATTCCGTTACATCGTCCAGTAACATATTCACGAAATCGTCGAAACCTTGTAGCGTGCCGACCATTTCTTTATCGTTTTTCATGATGATATGAATCCGGGAACCAATACATTTATCCACAAGTTCGAGAGGTAACAATGTGTTAGGATTAGGCAGCGATGTTTGTGTCATTTTGAAAATTTAGTTTTATATCGTGATTACCACTTTAATTTTTGTTATTTTGGTAAAACTTTCTTCTCTCACAATCGTATTCTTATCTTAGCACAAAAGTAAAAAACACGGGCACGCTATCTATCTTTCCGTTTCGTGTGATAATGACACAAGCAGTTTCGTTTAGAAATTACTTCAGTGTGAACAAGTAAAAGAAAAATATTATATCGCGTAAATTGTAGGTTAGGTTTAATGTTTTCTTTACACTTAACCTACTAAAAATAGAGTAAATCACTTCAGTCGTCGGAGTCACCAATGTTGAGACACGGGTTCGGGTTATAATTAAAAGATACGACAAAGTTCCACTCCATATAATAACCAAAAAATACTTAGGCTAATTACAAATTGAACATTTACGATATTTTTAAATTCACAAAAGGAAATATAAGCAAAATATTTATTTAAAAATTAAATATTACAAGGCTAATAAAATGTTCTTTTATTCTGCGACTTTGTGACATTTCTGAACGATTTCAAATTGTTGCCACATCAGAAAAAAGATATTAAATTGTAGGAAAAATATTTTGTTTATGCAGAATTAGTAATTTCTCAAGTAATAAAATTATAATTATTTCAAAATAAAAAAAAAATTTAGTCATATTTTAAACGAATATTAAATGGTTTCAAAGTTAATATAGTATCACTTAAGTAACCCATAGGAATATGCCATGATTACTAGGAATTAGCTTTTGTATTCTATGCTTTGGTTATTTTATTTAATCAATAAAATGTACTTGCGCAAAGTTGTACAGCTTTTATATAGCCGAATATTTTTTAACTTCATATATATTTTCCACTTAACTTTAGGGTAAATAAAATTTTGTAATGGCAATACTTGAAACGTCAAGTTTGAAAGTTGAGTTTGTTTCTTGCATTTGAAAATAACGATTCTGAAACGTACGAAGGAAAATACTATAATTTGTTTTGTTTTACATGAAACTGTAGTTTTGTGAGAATAATGGCTAAAAATGTGACGAACTTTCGCGGTGAAATCTATTTCACGCCGAATGGGAAATTACACATCAAGGACGAACCTGAAACTCCTATTGAAAACGACTTTGGCGAACACAATAACCTGGATTACTTTTACGAACATGGATTCGACAATATGAGAAAATCTATGTCTATGAATGACATTGCTGCTCTTCGAGAAGATCTTGTGAAGTTAGAGTTCCACGATAAAGAAGATATGTATCATAGACATCGTAAACCTTCGGGTGCACCACATGAGTTATCAAGAACTAAGTTTGTGTCAATGGCTGAAGCCATTTACCATTATCAGAGAGATACGCCAGGTCGTTTTCATTCGAAGCGACCGCAAATATTCCGTTCTCAAAGACCTACTGGACCATCGGGTCTCACTGTACCTCAATCGCCTATGCTTCGATCAAAAACCCGCTCAAGACCAACACATATCATGTCACAACAAGAAAGAGAAGAAATGGAACTTGAAGAAATAAGAAAGCACAAAATAAAAGCAAATCCTATTCCTAAGTCTGTTATAGAAGGAACTAAAAACCTTCCTGAAGTTTTAAAGAAGCCTATTACAGTACCTGAGCCTTTCAAGTTAACTGAAATACAAAAGAAGGCTGCTCAATCTACTGATGACATTCCACAATTCAAGGCGCGACCAGCTCCTAAACACATATTAGAGAAACCACAGGTACCAGTGAAACTTCCAGTACATGTGACCAAGCCTGTGAGTCCCAAATTCCGCTACAAAAGAGCAAATTCTGCTGACCAACTAAGAAATGATAACATGCTTCTAATGAAATCTCACCAAAAATGTGAAGAAAAGCATCATCCTAGAACAGGCCCAGTAAGGCCTGAGCCATTTTCATTTGAAAAAAGGGATGAAGAACTGAGGCGTCGCAGAGAAGAAAGAATCAAGCGTCAAATTGAGGAAGAACGAAAACAAGCTTCTTTATTTAAAGCACAACCAGTTCCTGGAGCTGTCAAAAAGAGGATGCAGTGCTCTGCACCCAAGGGCAGCTCATCCACCACTTCTTCAGAAAACAAAGAGAATAATGTTAAGTTTGAAGCTAAGTTACCGGTTGTACTGTACAAGGAACCATTCAAGCCTGTCCTTCAACCAGTGCAACTAAAAAAACCTGCGCCCTTTGAGCTTACTACTGAGAAGCGTGCTGCTGAAAGAGAAAAGTTTGAGAAGCAATTAAAAGAAAAGGAGGAAGAACAGGAAAGAATGAGACAAATGAAGGAAAAAGAACAACAAGAAGCTGAGGAAAGAGCAAGGGCGGAGTTAAGGGCCAAGTTAATTCATCATCCAAAGCCTGCCCCTAAAACAGGAATCGTACCATTTGTTCCAGAAAAATCTGTTGCGCCACTCACTGTGCCAGAGACACCCAAGTTTGTGAGGCGCCTCAAACAACACTAATATAACCTGATCTGTTCAATTTGAATTATTTACATTTTAATGTTGTTAAGATATTCCTTACAACTAAATTATCATGTTTTAGATTCTTATATGACAACTGTACTGACATTGTAGTTTTTATTGACATGATATTTCTTATTTGCTCTTTAGGACTTAGATTTTATTTAAATTGATGTTTTCCTAGATGATATTTGGTAATAAATGTACGATTTTCTGTATAATAAAGTTATCTTTAATTCTTAATACTGTTTCCTTTGTGTTGGTGTAACCTCAATTCACTGATTATATGACTCCAAGCAAGATAACGCCAATTGAGTTCAATTAAATACGTCATGAGATGTACAATATTAATTTCAATGTTTTTTTTTATTTCGTCGTGTCTGAACTGTGACTAACTATGATTCACAAAAGATTAATTTAGATGTCCAAGAAAAGTATATTTGTTATTATTACCTCACTGTAAGGAAACATTAAAATTAAATACAAAGATTTAATTTAGAAATCATTAGTCCTCTCTAAGAAAAATCCAGTTACAGTGTCTCAATATAACATTATACCGTCTAATTCCCGATGGAATGGATAGACAAGTGCACTGCATATACAAATTAAATAAAAAATTGACAAAACTAAAGAAGCATTCTATTAGATAGAATCACTAGGCTTATTTTAGGCTCCATGCTATATTACCTACTAGAAAATAACTTTAGTAGTCCTCATAGCATTTCATACTTCAATTCAAGATATTTTTCATACTAAGATTCTAATTTTCTACTAAATGAATTTTGTACATATCAGAAACGAACTGGTGGCAAGACAGCGGAGGAGTTGCAAGAAGAAGAAGAGTTGCAGTTGGCCCTTGCACTCAGCCAATCAGAGGCTGAGCACAAAGAGAAAGAACGCAAGTCCCGCTCCCACATCGCGCCAGAGCCTTCGTCTCATCACCCGACTTGTAAGTACCACGACTTGTAATTATTTACCAGGTTTATACAAAACTAAAGGGAATCTTATATCTATCCGTACAGGGCCTTTAGCCAAACGCCACTTTAGCGCTTGTCTACAGAGAGAGTAGAAATCAAAATGTATGGGGATGACACTGAGAAATGTCAAAATTTACGTCAATCCCATATAATTTGGTTTTCTATTCTACAAGTAGACAAGCGTTAAGTGGCATTTGGCTACAGCTGCTGGTTACACAACTTGTAAGATAATATGTTAAAAGTTGGTCTAAAACTTTGTTTGACTGCACGTTTGGCGCGGTGGCTGGGTAACGGGTTGCCACGCAATATGTCGCGGGTTCGATTCCCGGACGAAACAGCTCTTTGTGTGACCCACAGATTGTTGTTCCGGGTCTGAGTGTCATGTGTATGTGAAATTGTATGTAGCACCCACGAAACAAGAGAAAACAATAGTGAGGCAACGTTTAAAAAAAATTTTTGATCAGAAGGTAGCAAATATCTTAGATTGTCTAGTAACACATAAAACATTCCTAATAGAGTAAGCATGGGTGCTTTTTGTTACATAACAGCTACTTACTCGCCATAATAACGAAACAATTTTACAGTGTCTCCAACTCCATCGTCTGTAAGTGCATCCCCGGAACATAGCACGCAAGCCAACTCCGAGCTGTCGCGGTACTTGGACCGCAACTACTGGGAGCAGCGGATAAACCGCGATAGCACTGTGGCGCCCACTGCACCTGCACCAGCGTCACATGCCTCCGATACTACTGAGGTAAAATATAAATATTCTCCGATATGTCACAACGCAAATTTTGTAGTCAGATAATATTTAAAAAATTGGGCTATAAAAGTACCTGTTAAGTTATTTTTGTCTATGTGATATAAAATTTTATCACAACACTACAATATTTATAACAATATTTATTTAATGTTTGCAGGAATTCCCAAAGCCCTCGACAGCAAAGGCTCAAGATGAGGATGCTGAGGACAAAGAAATTGATGAATTTGTTGAATCACTGAAATCTCAAGTCGAAATATTTGTTAACCGGATGAAGAGCAACTCGTCACGGTACAGTATTTCTTAATAAGTTCTTTAAATCTGGATTATGTAGGAACATTATGTTTACAATTAATAACCGACACCTACTCTGTTTTACAGTGGACGTTCCATCGCCAATGACACTGCTGTACAAACATTATTCATGAACATTACTGCCATGCATTCACGTCTGCTGCGCTACATTCAGCAACAAGACGATAAACGTGTCTACTTAGAGAGCTTACAGGTAAGCATTTCATTGGATATGATTTCAACATCATATTAGGTATTATCTATCTAAGTAGTCTAAACTTGAATTAATTTGCTGTTTGTTAGGACAAAGTGACTCAGATCCGCGACAGTCGCGCGGCGCTGGACACCCTGCGCGCGGAGCACACGGCGCGCCTGGCCGCCGCCGCGGAGGCCGCCGAGCGACAGAGGCAGATGCAGATGGCGGCTAAACTGCAAGCCATGAGGAAGAAGAAACACGAGTACTTGCAGTATCAGAGGCAACTGGCATTGCAGAGAGTTCAGGTAATTACTAAATGACTATTAAGTTTGCACATGTTTTAGAAACTTATTTTACCTACATATTGTAATTAAATATCGATCTTGTGTTTCAGGAACAAGAAAGAGAAATGCAAATGAGGCAAGAGCAACAGAAACACCAATATTTAATGAATGCTAATAATTTTTACATGCCTGGTGTTTCTATGCCACAACAGTTCCAGGCTGGTTATCCAAACCAGTCAATTTATGGAAACCCACAATACCTTCCACAAATGATGCCACAAGCAACTACAGACAGTAGTGTTCCAGTGCCTGTGCCAGGACAAACACAAATGTCAACAGCGAATATGCCAATGAGCATGAATCCAATGGCAACTATTCAGTCCATGCCACAGTTGACAAATACTTTTGCAGCTCTTACCACATCTGCTGGTGGTGTCAACCCAAATTCTGTCAGCGCTCAACCGTCCATGAATCAATCTAACTTAAGACCCAACCTAACTCAACAATTACCACTTCAACAACAAATGATGCTGCAGCAAATGATGCGCATGGGTGCGCCAGGTGCCATACATTCCATTGTACCACAGACCCTTGCGAATGGCATGCCTGGACAAAACATTCCCCAGCAGAATGGTCAAAGTGCACAGTTACCCAAACAGAACTTACCTAACCAACCGCAGCAGCAGCCTAATTCTATGATGCCTCAAATGACTGTTGGCCAACAAAATCTGGGACAGCAAACCCTGAATCAACAGTTAATGAACACCAACCCAATGCTTGGACTACAAATGCAGAACATGAGAATGCCTCTTATGCAAGGCAACCAACCAAATACTAATCAGCAAGTTCCAGTTTCTGGATATCAGAACATAAATATTCCAAATCAAATTAATTCTCAACAACCAGGAGCTCAAGGTCCCAATATGCAAGTACAGTCACAAATGCCTATCCAAGGACAAGCATTATCCATGCAAGGACAGCAAATGATGCCAGGTCAATCCATGCCTGGACAGTCCCAGCAGATGCAAATGAATAATAATATGCAACCAGGCGCAAATATACAACAATCCCAGGGACAACAGGTGCCACATACCCAAGGACAGCAGATATCTCAACTACATCAGCAGCAGATGTCACTGAATCAACAGATGTCTATGCCCAACCAGCCAATGCAACAACAGCCAGGACAACAAATGATGATGCAAGGGCAACAAATTCACCATCAAGGTCAAATGGTCAATCAAGGTCAAACACCACAAGGGCAATTACAACAAGGTCAACTGCAACAAGGCCAACTACAGCAAGGCCAATTACAGCCTGGTCAACAACAAATGAATCAAGGACAGATTCCAACTAGTCTTCAAGGGCAACAAATGCTACCAGGTCAGCTACTGCCTGGAAATCCAGGTCAGATGCAAATGGGCCATCAGATGCAAATGGCACAAGTACAACAGATGCAACAGGGGCCTGCTATGCAAGGACAGGTCCCTCAGCAAATGGGCATGCCCCAACAAATGTCACAAGTACCACAAGGGCCTTCTATGCAACAAAACATGCAGGGTCCACAGAAAATGCCACAACAAAATATGCCACAGGGGCCGCCTGGAAACAACCAACAAGGCCAGACACCAGGAAAGCAGGAACATAATAATAATACAGGCGAGCTGATCAGTTTCGATTGAAACTAACCAGAAAAACGTTGAGAGAGCTCTGCAAATTAATGACTGGAAATATATAACTTGTTCTAATATTACGTAAAAACTTATATTATGCAAATAATATTTATGCACTTAGATATTGTGCAATGTTGTCAGTTTTTAAACCAAAATATTGTCATGTATAGATAAATTTGAGATTTTATAGAATATAAAATTGAATGCCTTTACTTATAAATGTTGTAAATGAGAGATGATTGTAAAGTTTTAGTCCATTACATTATAACATGGGTTTTTACAACGATGTACCCGGTTCTATGCATTTTGAGAATATTGTAGTTGTAACTTTTATAAGTAAAGTGTTTAAAGCTTTTTAATTAATATTGCAGATAGTTAACATTAATTTATATTACTGTAAGGTAGTTCCAGATCAAAATTGGCAGCAAATATGACACATTCATACGAATAAATATATAATCTATCTCATTTGATCATTTGCTGTAGTTGGTAGTCCTTTTAGTTAGAAAACCTTGTAATCTATGTAAATGCAAATATGTATAAACTATTCGTCGTTCTTAATTCGTAAACCGTAGTTTATTTAGATATTAATAAAAGGAAATTTCAAATATTTTATGTTTAATGTCTTCATTGATGTGGTAAATGTTTTGTTAATATTTTAAGTTATCTATTGTATAATACGACGTACCAATAAAAACAATAAAAACGTATTGATTATTTAATTTTCACTCTATTCCATTTCAATAATGTCAACATCTATTGCCTCAGTGGCTGGGCAACTGTGTAATGTGTCGATGGTTCGATTCCTGCACGAATCGATGCTTTGTGTGATCACAATTTTTTAGAGATTTGTACTTTTTTATACTTTTGTACATAAACCAACAACTTTGACTTTGACTTTGAAAATTTATGTAAATTTTGTGGTATGGATACGGATATTTGGTAAACGGTAAAAATTCTCGCTTTCCTCCTCAATTAATAATAATCCTGTGTAAATAGTTCTACTTTTAAGTGCTGTTGGGACGGGGTTTTTTTTTAAGGGGGGAAAATCATCGAATGATTGCTCCCGCCTGGGTGAGGCGGAAGGGAGTGTCAGACTCTTACTGACTAAAAACCACCCCGTTCCTTCTCCTTCACGTCGAGCCGGAGCCCCGGTTACCCGTTAGGTTCTCCGCGACTCCGAATCGGCAACAGCCCTATTGGGCCCCATCTGTGGTGGTCTGTTTCTGATCGGACGGGGAGCCACCCATGCTCGCCGTCCGCAGTCCCGCGCTTACGGTGGCCGGAGATCGTCCCGCGATCCCCGACGCCCGGTGTGTCCTTCGCGATGGCTGGGTTGCGAGGAGGCAGCGCTTCGCTGCCTCACTCGTCCCGCCTCCTCCTTTGCTAGCATGACTGCTTCACAAAAGGAGGAGACGGCATCCCAGTCCCCCTCGCTCCGCATCATGGCCTGCACTAGGCCCGGACGCGAGAGGTCGCCATCGCCGATCATGTTGGGACGAGTACGGGATGCTTTTTTTTTATTAACTGTCACACACCGAGCGGTCACCGGTGACCGCAACCTATTGTTATTTATGTCTATGACGGTACTCGACGAGTTAAAGGGGGAAAATCATCGAATGACTGCTCCCGCCTGGGTGAGGCGGGAGGGAGTGTCAGACTCTTACTGACTAAAAACCACCCCGTTCCTTCTCAGTCCTGCACATCGAGCCGGAGCCCCGGTTACCCGTTAGGTTCTCCACGACTCCGAATAGGCATCGGGTACGGGATGCTTAGGTTCGATGTTTGGATGAACTAATTTCTGAGTGATTTGGGGTTTATCATCTTTTCTATTTCTAAACATGCTCTTTGTCGTAGTAGTATTTTGAGTTAATAAAGATTTGTAAAGTAATGGTTAATAATTTTACGTGAACTGAAATAGGGTCTTAAACTTTTTTTTTTTCTCTTTGTCAACCGATTTTCTCATCATAAACTCGAATGCATAAAAACCATGATGCTTCATTTTTGAACGCAGTCAATTTTAACTTAGCAAAATGGCGCAATGGCGCGAATCATGAATTCGGTGACAGTTGTTGTCTAACAAATGTCAAGAACTGTTGCCGGTCAACTTTTATTTTAGTAAAATTAATTATTTTAGCGTATTGTCTATTTAAAACAGTTTATTGCTAACGCAATGGATGAAGATAACCAAGATGGACCATTTACGGTGTGGCAAATGTTTAATGCTCCTACTATGGTGTTATTCAACAACTTGGAACATGCAGCTGATGGTTTGGACAGACTGCTAACATCCATCCTAAAGTTATCAGGGTAAGAACAATCATAATTTTTCATAATATACTCGATTATGTTCTAAAATTAATTCTTGATTAATGTTTGATGATAATGATTAATGGTTATGTATGGTTTGTTTACAGAGACTTTTCTGAAGTATTAGTGCCTAGGGCTGGTTCTTCCAAGTACCCAGATTCATATTACCATGCATTCAATACATGGCTTGTTGGCAGACTATTTTATGTGTGGTCTGTGGAGGAGCTAAGCAGGTAAACTTTGTCTGGGCTTGTATGTTTTTGCAATCTAAAAAAGAAAGGTGAATAACTCTTTACTTTTTTTTTAAGGATACATGAAACAAGCAAGGAAGCTCAGTTGAAAATTTTGAACATACTGTGCATGAATGCTGCATCTTTCTACAATACTTTACATTTGGAGTATGTGTCTGTATTAACGAAATTAGTTCAGTATTTCAAAGAGAATCAAGATAATCAGTCCAATGGGCTATTGCTTGAAAACTTTAAGTCAGAGCAAATAGACATTCCTAATGTTCAGTTAAACTTGGAGCCTATATTTGTAAATGTGAAAGATTTAAAAACATGCAAGATATTGATAAACTGGACATTGCAACTACTATCTGAGAGTCTACCGACAAATTCTGTTCACATAAATAAACACAAAATAGAATATTGCAAGTTATTTAATGATGTTCTGCACATTCTTGACAATTACAGTGTTGACTTAAAGCTATGCTCAATAAAGTTTTTCATAAATTTAATTAGTAACTATGAACAAATTGGCATTTACAAGTTTCAGAAATGCTTTCCATCTGTTTATTGTGACTTGCTTTATTCAATAGAAGCTATGTTGAAGTCATTGGATGTGTACTATGAGAAGGCGGAAATAGATGTAATCTATTTAGACAGCCTTAACAAAACAATTAGTACTTTTATGAAAGTTATTAAAAAAACTAACAGAGAGAATAAAGATATTATTTCAAATATTTGCACAGAAATCTTAAGATCTAAAAATAATAAGACATTTAATAATGACCTGAAGTTGGTATGTTTATCTATGACTACACACATTGATATTCCAAGAGAATTAATAGATATATCAAATAAGGATGCCAGTGAAATTGATGTACTGAATGAATACTACTGTAAAGACATACTGGCTTTCATGAATTCTGATTTACAGGGTAAAACAAATGTTGATTCAAAAGACAATTGGTGTTACCAACAAGTATTAAATGTAATTAAGTCCATAAATACTTGTGAGGATAGTAAAATTGATATATTTTTAATAAGTTACCATTTGAAGAGATGTCTGTCTGCGTTAGGCATATTGCAACAAGTTGCGTTGACAAAAGTGCAAGAAAGGACCAAAGTTATATTGGAAGAAGAAATCTATGTGATTTGGGGATCATTACAGAAGCTTATTGGATTTAATAAGAGCATTATTTTAGGAGATAGTAACTGCACCAGACTATACATGGACATACTTCTAAGTACTATGGTCCTCCACCCTGCACCATCAAGAGAGGATTGTAACAAAATTCTTCAACTTTTGTGTTTGCAAAGCTCTCCACAGTTCTCTGAACATAATTTCGGATTTAATGATGGTGTTAAAATAATGATTCTGAAATACATCTTGATTGTTAGACTTGTCCTAAAAGGCAAGTCTAGTGAAATGTGGAACAGAATTATTTCTAATCTAATTGGTGTTTTTCTGAAAAATAAAACTGTTCACAATTACAAGCAGGTATAGTATTATATTGATTTCATGGCTTATTTTATTTAACTTTATCTTATATTATGGTTCATTTATTATGCTTTTTTTTCAGATATTGTCATTATGTCCACTATTAATGGTGAATAGCATATTATCTTCAAGTAAATTAATAGGAGACTTGTTAATGCCTGCATTTTTGACAAAAGACCAGGACATTCAGAAAGAAGTAACAGAGGTCATATCAGCTATAGCTTGCATGTCATTAGGAACTTATGAAATTGTCATTTCTGTACCAAAAAACTGTATTGGACATTCTATATTCACAAACAGTATTATAGACCTGTTATTAATATGTTCCAAATGCCACCACATAGATAAAAATAGATATTCAGAGGATTATTTGAGTAAAATAAATCAAAATAAAGTTGTGATATATTCAGAGAGTAATGGCTATACTCCAAGTCAGCATGCCACTATTACAAGTCTTAAAAGTTTATTTGTAAAGTTCTTGAACTGCAAGCAGTATGTAGACTTAGAAAACAGTGGCTACTGGGACCTGTTTGCTAGGCTCTGTCATCATTACTATGTGCTGAACTATGGAGCTCCGACAGATCTGTTGAATGAAACAAACAGTCATCGGGTTTTGAAGTGTTTCACCCCTTTTGTTGAAGATAATGTGGTAAGTTAACTACATGATTATTCATATTGTAAGTAATTGTCTGTATCACTTTTATCGTAATATATCTTTAAATTGTAATTTTTTTAGGCAGAAGAAGATCCTGAATGGAATGCTCACAAAGATTCCGCATACAGTTTATGTGTCAATGTGTTAGTAAAGTCAACTCGAAACAGTTTGGAAAACAATGATTACTCTCAACAGACCAACACTTTGAATCTCATAAAAGAATTTGGATTGTGTCCAAATGAGAAAGTAGTTTTACCTGTAACAAAACTCTTTGTTTATTTTATAATGCATCCTCAATGTTGTCTCGGGCCAAAGGCAG